CTGGAAAAAGCTACCTTCCAAGTCCTTCGTTGTAAAGAATGCCAGCAGGATTCGGGGCCAGAAGATCCAGAAGGAACGCATCACCGTCCTGTTTACCACCAATGCCTCCGGTACCTGTAAGCTCAAGTTATCGGTGATCCACACAGTACGCAAGCCGCACACCTACAAAACCATGGACATGACCAAGCTAAATGTCCACTGGCTGACAGCACGTAAGGCGTGGATGTTCTCTACACTGTCCCTCTCCTGGTTTGATGACTGTTTTGTTCCCGATGTAAAGAAATTCTGTGAGCGACAGAATGTGCCATTCAATATTTTGTTGCTGCTGGACAACGCACCAGGACACTCGCCCCTACTGTTAGATCGTCACCCCAACGTAAAAGTGGTCTTCCTTCCTCCCAACACTACGTCTATATTACAGCCCATGGACCAAGAGTTAATCTGTAATGTAAAAGCTGCATTCTCAACAAAAAAATTCAAACTCCTGAACGACTCCACCAACACCAGGGAAGAGTTGCGTAACCTGAGTGACACCACCACCGATAGCAAGAGCGAAGAAGATGAGGATCAACAGTTGGCACAGCAAAAAATACTGTTCAAACAATTCTGGAGAGTATTTAACATCAAGAAAGCTGTGGACTTCTTGGTGGAGTCATGGGATCAGCTGTCTATTGCTACAATTCGTCACGCATTGAGACATGTGTTGCATGGAATACCAGGTGAGAGGAAGAGTCAATCTGTGACTGGTGAGGTTCAGACTGTTGCAGTAGCAGTGGACCTTGCCAGAGAAGCTGCGCAGACTGTTACAGTTCCAGGCTTCTCCGAGAACAGCAACGACGACATCCTGGAGGTGATCAGAGATCCTGAAGTGACTGCCGACGAGATGTTGGAAGAAGATCACGTCAGTGAAGAGGAGGAAGAAGGTGCGTCATTCTCCGAAGAACACAGTTTAACTCATAGTGATATTAAGGGTGCCATGGAGTGTGCAGAGAAAATGAAGTCCTTCCTTTCCCGCGACAATGACGATGACCGCTATGAAGTCTTCCATACCCGGCTGGTGCAGGCTACGGAGCCGTACATCACGGTGTATCAAGACAACATAAACACCAGCCGTCAAAAAAGTATAACCGAGTTCTTCGCCCGCAACCCACCACAGCCAGCCCAAGCCAGTGATAGTGACAGTGAAGATGACTTTGAGGGATTTGTCAGGGAAGCCCTGACAACTGTAAGTGACAGTGCTGGTGATTCACCTAGTAATGGTGATTCACCTGAGGGCCAGTAATCTGCCCTCTGCCTCGGAACCAGCCTCCATCCCCGTATGCCGACCCATCTCTTCTACTAACTTAAGTGTTACACATAACTTTTAGTTTTTCTAACCTAACCTTTATTTTTCCTATGTTAACCTTTATTTTTCCTAACCTAACCTCTTCTATATTACTTGTTTTTTCATACCATCATAAAGTTAAGATAAAATTTTTACTACAACATAGTTGTGTGTCGTCAAAAAGTGGAGTTTGGGGGTCGGCCCGGACTCTATTTCAATTAATCCCATATGTTATGTTATTCACTTTACGCGTTTTTCACTTTACGCGGGACCCTGCGGGTTACATTAACCGCGTAAAGTGAGGGTTAACTGTATATATATAGTGACTCACTTAAAAGTCTGTTAATTTAACTTTGTGTAATATATGTATGTAGTAAGTATGAACAGTAATCTTTTTCACTCAAATCCTAATGAAACACTATTGAATTAGAATACTGTAGCTGGTTGAAGCAAGCTTATAAATTAAAGAAAATACTTGCAGCGTGTTTAATATATTACAGTATGTTATAAATAAATAAATAAACAAATAAATTGGTAAATCCATTTCAAGTAAATGAAACAATTGTATTCTACACCGACATTAGTTCTAGTTAAATAACAGACTTTTAAGTGAGTCACTAGTGTTTACACTACACCAACCTCTAACATTTGATGCCATTACTTGAAGTGAATTGGCCCTATTTTAAAAAACCAAGGATGTGTAAACAGCACTGGTCAATGGGATGGTTGGTAAAGGACTACTGGGTCAGTAAGCTCCCAATGGTAAGTGTCACATTTGGGGTACCGGTCTTATACAGCAAATAGGGCTCAAAAGCTACTTTTTAAATGGACATTTTGGGGGCCGTCTTATACACCCCGTCGCCTTGTAGGCCGAGATATACGGTATGTGGTTTACTGATTCTATACCGGACAGCTGCCAACTGACCTATTTTTGTTCACATCAAGTTTGTATTACAATAAGTATGTGGTGCCCACTTCCTGATTTTTTTTATTGCTAATTAACACTTAACTACAATGTCTTCTTTCCTGTTTTATTCTGGCTGGGGAAGTTCCATCTCGTAGTCAAGGGGTTAAACTAAACTTCGCTGCTTCTACACGATATAGTTTCAAACATATACATTTGTTCTTAACTGACCCTTTATGCAGAGAAACACCTTACTTACTACATGAAATTATCCCCCTCTTATCCTAATGTAATTTAGTAGTTTCATCTGGCTATATGCTAGATGATTGGTCTCAGCTGAGGAAACCCTATCGATATTGTCAAAGCATTATTCTGCATTGAATCTCTCTCAACTGATTTACACTTTCTGTCCTCGCCCCCAGTTCCCTGTCTCCCATTCCAGAAAGACACCTACCCGACACACTCACACTCTCTAGTGACTCCTTCCAATTCACACTTCAGAGTTCAGGTTTCACACCTTAGGGAGAGAGGAATGGAAATGCTAAATGATAAACTCAGGAGTGCAGGCAACTCTACATATATACATACATTTATTCATACGTATGCACGCACGCACACATGCACATGCATGCATACATACTTACTGTACATTGGGCCTCAGGAACTTTCAAGTATCTTTGGGAAGCTTCTAAAACCTTCAGAGAAATTTGTAGTTGTCTGAGCGTGCCCGTTCTCTTTGGATACTGTCCGAGATGTAGAAAGGTGTCCAGAGAATCTTGGGGTTCTGTTCCGAGTTGATGGGTCTTTACTGTAGTACAGTGATATCCCCGTTAGCCGGAACAATTGGTGTAGAGCACTTCCGGGAATGAGAGATATCCGGGTAACGAGACGACTCTCTCAATGCCCCAAAGAATCCCTCCTCCCCGGAATTTTCCGGATAATGGAAAAATGTTCTTGGAAGTTCCAGACATTACCCATTACATCATCTTTCGAACCTGGAAAAATATCCTTCATCCCCAGAATTTTCCGGGTAACGGAAAATTTTTCTCAGAATTAATGCGCCTGATTTTCATCTCTCATACCCGGAAAAAACTCCCCCATCCCCGGAATTTTCCGGGTATCGGAATAACTCTCTTGAAATTTTCCGGAAAATGTGCCCTTGGGAAAATCGTTCCCAAAGCCGTAATTTTCCGGAAAATTCCGGCTTTTGGAACGATTTTCCGAAAAATTTAAATTCCGGCTATCGGAGAGTTCTGGGTTTGAGGGATTCCTTCTGACAGTGATATTACTGTACTGTACTTGCATTTCTTACTTTATGCTAGTCTGGCACAAAGAAGGCAATGTAACAAAGATACGGGTACACCACCGATTTTCCGGGAACTGATGGTCCGGCATCTCCTTTAGTCCGGACAAAATTACGAGAGGGCACTTAGCTTCCCTCCGTCCCCTCCGGCTAGGGTGAAGGTAGTTATAGGCTTAAAGTTTTTATCTTATAAAATGTCAGACTAGACTTAGCAGAATATAACTTGCATTGCTGGAATCCTTGCAAGATAGTGATTAATTTGAGTATAAACATAATATAGTTTGCACAAGAGATAAAAATTTTAGTCCTTTAGTGTAGTACATTTAAGTCGAAGTGTTTCAGCATGTAATTTTGGGTAGATATACATAACTTTCTTCATTTATTTTTACTCATTTACATGCACACACCAACCAAAATAAATATAGTGAAAACAGTAAAAGAAATAACTGTACTGTACTCAAATATACTAAATAATTATGAAAAATTTTATGTCTAGTGCAAACTATGGGATGTTTAAACTCAAATTAATCACTATCTTACAAGAACTCCAGCATTGTAAGTTATATTTTGCCAAATCAATTGAGTGTCATTTTATAAGCGAAAAACTTAAACTCCCTCTACATCATGGCTAAATAAATACAACTTGGTCACCTTCGCAACCTTTGCCGCCGGCTTCCTCAACACCTCACCTCGCCCTCGGTCCTCCTCCCAGCCAGGGTGAAGGTGGCTTTTAGGCTTAAAGTTTTTTTCTTATAAAATGTCGCTGACTAGATCTAACAGAATATAACTTGCATTGCTGGAATCCTTGTAAGATAGTAATTAATTTGAGTATACATGTAAACATCATATGGTTTGCACAAGAGATAAAAATTTAGTCCTTTAGTGTAGTACATTTGAGTACAAAGTGTGTACAGTAATATGTTGTCCAAAATTATGGCTTTTTCCCATTTAATTTACATTTACCATTTGTTTAATTTAAGTTTCTACCAGTCCATGGTGCTTTAGAGACACAGGAGGTGTATAATTAGTGGGTCAGAGGTGTATTGTTGAATTATTATTACGTGGCCTCGGTTGGTCAAGCAAGGCTTTGGAACCAAGGGTACCGGAAATTCGGTGGCGTACCTGTATTGTGAAAGAAACCCAAAAATCTTGGTGAGAATGCTTTCAGAGCAATACCAAGCCAAACAAGACACTGATGGTAGGTTAAGTACTAATATTTTCTATAAGAACATTTTATTTAAAACAATATATTTTATAAATTAGTATTTTCCATACAAATCCATGATATAAATCTATGCACTATACATTGGGAGATAGTGTTTGTTTGTCTTTGACAGGATACAGCCACACTAAGTTTAACTAAATTAAATATAATATTTCCTCTAAATATGTTTTATGAAAAGTCTGCATAACAGTAATGATGATGATGATTTGTTTACTGGAAAAAGCTTATAAGACTTATTTCACAGGCAAAGATCAAGAAAGAGGACAGCGGAGGAATCAGTGGAATGGAGAGATTGTCAAGATCCAGGACATAGAAGAAAATATGTGGTCACCTAAGTTTGGTGTAAAAGGCAAAATAGATTTAACTGTCAAGACTCATCAGCATGGTGTTTCAAAGGTAGTATTTTATGTTTTGCAGGTGGTTTAGCTTTTTAGGAAAATATAACAATGTTATTCAAATAGGATTTTATTGAATAATAACTTATTGGCAGCCTGAGTCTTTGAAGGCTGATGATAATAGAAGATTTCTGTCTGTCATTGATGTTTCTTTAAACATGTGTGTACTGCAGCTCAAATGGTAGTGTGGCTCTTTCAAAGGCAGTACTAACTTACATACAGTACATATTACATAAGAACATAAGAATGGAGGAAACTCCAGCGGGCCTATTGGCCCATACTGGGCAGTCCCATTTACACCCAGCCCCCATTGCTCATATATCCAACCAACCTAGGTTTGAATATATATATATATATATATATATATATATATATATATATATATATATATATATATATATATATATATATATATATATATATATATATATATATATATATATATATATATATATATATATATCCATATATATATATATATATATATATATATATATATATATATATATATATATACAGTCGACCCTCGTTAATTCGCACCCCTTTAATCCGGATTTCTGATAATTCGGACAAAATCTGATTTTTTTTTAGATTTGTAGGAATATTAGCTACGCGGACCTTAAGCTAAAATGCTGGTCCACCCACTGCTGGGATAAAACACCAGCGTCTTTTTGGTTAAATGTAACATCTCCACCACTAGTGTGGGGGGGGATGCAACTTTTAGCTTCAGACATGAAAAATATTTACCATTTACTGCCAGTAAACAATGGAAATGTAAAATATGTACCAATTAGTAATGAAAAGTTGTGCAGTTCCTTCAGCAAATGAAGCTCACCAACTTACAATAGGCTAAATTACCTTACAACATGTTTTCAGTAGTCTATGTTGAAGTTCTTAGCACAGGCTAACTTATCATATCATATACGGTATCACAGTTCTCATTGATCTACAAAAAATACCGGTAATAAAAACCTTTTCGATATTTCACACTTAATATAATACCCGGTAATCTACTTCAACCTCTTATTGTTTACAACAGCGCATGACGCACCACCAGCTGTTGTGTATCAGCTAGACCAGGGGTGGGCAATTATTTTGACTGGCGGGCCACTTCATGAATTTTGGGACACGCCGCGGGCCAGAGACTTAATATAGATGCAAATGCATTGTATTTGCACAAAATAAAGCCCTGTATTTATATATATAGGATGTAAGTAAAATATTAAGTAGCATACATAGATATTTTGGGGAAATAAATACGTCACTTCTTAGCTTGTATCTTTTATTATTGATAATAATGCTAATACAAATACCAATATTAATACTACTAATAATAATATAGAGTTATGGTGCAGTAAATTTGGTATTTTAAGTGCATTAACGTAACTGTCGTAACATAAGAGAATCGATATTATAAGTTGAAATAATTAATCTCTTGAGACGTTGTCTTTACTCTTCCCTAGGGAGGTGGTGGTAGGGTTGAGTTGGTCAGGTCTGATCACAGCTATCCTGCTTCGTCTGGCTTCCCTAGGGAGGTGGTGGTTGGGTGGAGTCATGTCAAATTGTAGCTGTTCCTGATGGGCTGATCTATGATGTCACTGCTGCAGACTGCTTGAAAAATGTATTTAATACAGTTTAATATTTATTGTTGCATCTTCATAAATTAAGGATAATATAATTAAGTTTTAATGGTTGAAAATAAGGAAAAAGCAAGTCAAAGCACCAATATGTAATTTATTAAAATATTTTAAAGTATGTTCATATGTCATATTATATTCTGAAATTGTTTAGTATCTTGATAAGAATATTTAACTTACTCAGTGGGACGAATGACAGCGCTGATGATTGCTGACCAGACCATTGAAGTCAGGTGTTGCCTCCGTTGTTGCAATGAAAAGTACTTGTTCAAGGTGATCATCAGCCATTGCAGATCTAAGTATTGATTTATTCAGCTTCATTATCGAAAATGTCTGCTCACATATGTATGTAGATCCAAACAGCACAAGCATTGTTTGAGCATGAGCCTTTAGTTTTGGAAATGCACAGTCATTAAGAGAGGCATAGAATTTGGGAAGAGTCACTGTTTTCATCTGCTCAGAAAGCAAAGGATCACATTGCATGTCAATAAGCTCGAGTTGTAGGTCAACTGGGGCTTTGTCAACATCAAATGAGAAGGGAGAAGACACCAAAAACAGGTCATTTTCAATTAATTTGAAATCATGGAATCTGCATGAAAATTCGGCATGCAAGTCAAGTAGCTGCAATGAGTACTTCTGTACATTTTGATCACAAACTTCAATCTGTTGTAAGGTTGCAAAGTGAGCAAATTGTTTGTTCGTAATCTGACGAGACAAAAGAAGTAATTTCTTCATGAAAGCTTTGACACTGCTGTACAAATCATGTGCAAAAGCCCCCTTCCCTTGTAGCTTTGAATTCAGGTCATTCATATGACCCATGATATCAACAGCAAATGCAAAATCAGAGAGCCATTTCTCATCATTCAACTGTGGGAAATCTATAGCATTCTGTTTCATGTCCAAAAATAAGCCAATCTCTTCTTTCAATTCCCAAACTCTTTTCAGGATTTTTCCCAAACTAAGCCACCTCACATTTGTGTGATACAGAACATCCGTATGATCAGATTCCAAGTCTTCAAGCAGGGTTATAAACTGCCTGTGATTTAATCCTCTTGCTCGAATGTAATTAACCACTTTCACAACTGTGTCAACGACATGGCTTAAATTTAAAACACTCTTACAAAGGACTTCTTGATGAATAATGCAGTGCAAAAAGACAATATTTTGTTCTGCATTTGTTTCTCTGACTTGATCTTGAATTCTTTTTAGCAATCCAACATTTTTACCTGTCAGATTTGGCCCTCCATCGGTGGTCACATTTACCAGTTTGTTCCATTCTACTCCTAATTTCAAAAGACAATTATTTACTGCCTCCAATAAATCTTCTCCAGTTGTTGTTCCTTTCAGTGACTGCATTGATACCATTTCTTCTGTGATCTCAAAATATTTGGTGATGCCTCGAATGAAAATTCACAACTGTGCTGTGTCTCTGACATCACAGCTTTCATCAAGTGCCAGTGAATAGTATTCAAAAGTCCTTACTTTCTCTTTAAACTGCAGATACATGTTCTCAGCAATGTTCTCAACTCGTCTTACAATTGTTCGCCTTGACAAACATACATTCTCAAACTGGTTTTTCTTGTCTGGACATAAAATAGAGGCAGAATCAATCATACATTCCTTTATAAATTCTCCTTCAGAGAATGGCTTGCTGTTTTTGGCAATCTTGTGAGCAATCACATAACTCACTTTTGTAATATCATCCTTGGATGCAAATTGTTTTCTGAAAATATTTTTCTGTTGTTGTAATTGAACAACCATCTAGTTAGCTTTCTTCCTCTTTTGTTCATCAGAAAATTTTTCATATTTACTGGAGTGCTTGGTCTCAAAGTGGCGCTTTAAGTTGTAATTCTTTAGCATTGCCACACTTTCTCTGCAAATTAAACACTCTGCTTTTTCATCCACGTTGGTAAAAAAATAATTAGAAGTCCATTCCTTGTTGAATGTTCGATGCTCTGCTTCAACTTTCCTCTTCTTAGATTCACTCATTTCCACTTTAAAATTATGGGTTGGGGCAACAACACATAAGTACAAATTCAGCAAAACCACACTAATGTCCTCTTAAGTGAGAAGCAGAGAGGAGACTGAGCTTTTCTAGTATTGGTGCTGGACGGTGAGGTCAGCGTGGGAAACAATATTGAGGCGTGGGCGTGGCCGTCCTGGTCAAATGGTCAAGAATTATGGGTCTCTCGGGTAAGGGTTCACTGACCTCCATTTGCCTAATCCCAAATCCTAATCCTTATAGTTAACCATATTTGAAGTATTCACAACAGGGTGGCCAACTCTCACATAATAATGATCCTTTCTAAGATTTAATTTTTTTTTTTTTATATATATATATATCTTTATCCACATGCATTGGCGGGCCACCGAAATAAACTGGCGGGCCACATTTGGCCCGCGGGCTGTATCTTGCCCACCCCTGAGCTAGACGGTACACATGTTTTTCGAATCGTTTTCAGTTAAAAAACTGTTACATCACATGTATATTTTCCCTTAACTGTGCCTGAATGAATATATTCTTGGAAATAAATAGTAGTTTTGCTGAAACGTGATGTATTTTAATGTAAAATAGGATAAAATACATGACGAAAACAACAGACTTTACCTAACCTTCCGATGTTCAAGAGAAGTTACTCGTTTTTTAATAGTTTTTGGTTAAAATACTGTTATATTACAATGTTATTCTATTCATACTGTGCTTGATATAATGCATTCACGGAAATGTAATATTTTTGCTGAAATGACGTACGTATTACAGTGGAAAGTAGGATAAAATCGTGACGAAAACAATGACTTTCGCTTTCTTTCGTTCAAAAGATGTTACCATAATCGCTTTTTGATTGGTTTTCAGTTAAAAAACTGTTGTATTACAATAATATTCTATCCTAATTGACTTGAATAAATACTCCGATACCATATTTTTGAATATTTTCATTAAAATCCATCCAAATAATTTTCCTTGTCATCGTCTGCAGCACCAAACAGCTTCTCCCAGTCCTCTCCTTGAACAGGGCTAGAGGGTACGTGTTTTTCGAATCGTTTTCAGTTAAAAACTGTTACATCACACGTATATTTTTACCTAAACTGCGCCTGAATGAATATATTCTCGGAAATAAATAGTAGTTTTGCTGAAACGTGATGTATTTCAATGTAAAATAGGATAAAATACATGACGAAAACAACAGACTTTACCTAAGCTTCCGATGTTCTTGAGATGTTATTCATTTTTTTAATAGTTTTCGGTTAAAATATTGTTATATTACGATGATATTCTATTCATACTGTGCTTGATATAATACATTCACGGAAATTTAATATTTTTGCTGAAATTACGTACGTATTACAGTGGAAAGTGGGATAA